TAAAAAAAAATATAGTTTGGCTGAGTATTTTTTAATTTTTATATTTAAAATGCAAAAAAGATCCTGAAAAAGGACTGAAAGAATATTTAAAGCGCTAGTTTACTTAAAAGTCTTACCCATCTTGTACAATATATACGATAAATGTTGATGAAAGTTGATTTAAAATTTTTATTTCTATTATCCTTCTTTTTGATACCTTGCGCACGCAATACAATTATTTGGGGAACGAGCGATTATTTAATTGATTGACGTTAATCTGTAGGGGATTTTTTTAAAATTCTGCTCATATAAATTTTCTTAATTTAATTATCGTTATTATAATATTTCACTCTGAAAAATTTCAAAAGTACCGTGTATTAACAAAGCGTGGTATTGCAGCTAAAATTAACGAGATTACTTGAAAAAAAGATTGAAAAACACTGGGAAAAACTTTTTTTATAATGGTATTTTAAAGTTTAATATTTAATAAAAATTATAAAGAAGTGTAACGTTGTATATTATATTATGTAAACTTTTAAAAAATATTTTCCTAATGATTGCAATTTAACTTGTAAATATAATAAAAAAAAAATGAGAAAAAAAAAAGGAATGATGATGTTTTTCTTAACTTTCCTCTTCTTTTTTTGTGTTGTGAGTAATAAAAAAAAAATATTTCTGTTTTTCATTCTCTTTCTCTTCAATGGTAATTATTAAAAGTATTTTATTATTTAAAAATTGTTGACAATAATTATTTTTTAACATAAATTATATTAAAATGTTGAAAGAGGATGATAGTGCAGCGCAACGGGTGGTAGGCTCTTTGTTTTTCTCTTTTTTTTCTTATTAAATTCTATTATATTTTTTTAAGGACTTTTTTTTTATGTTCTCCCTTCTAAGTGCTTGAAATTAATATTGTTTATGTAACACATTTATATATGTATATATGTATATTAAAATTCTTGTATATTCAGTTGCTTTGGTTGTATGACAATATAAAATTTTGTTTATTTTGTGTAATTAATAGAATAGTTGGGAATATAAATTTGAAAGTATACAAATTTATACAAAAGACAAAATTGAGTTTTTTAATATTCGAAAATTATCATTTAAAATTAATTATACACAATAATTTTGTATTGTATACTTAAATTTACATATATATAGAATGTTCTTGTTAAAAATTAATTAAATCGTATTTGAGTTTTAATATTTTCATCATATTGAATAATGAGATCGTAAAATTTTTTGTGAATTTTTTGTGAAAGAAAATAAAATGTTTTTTTTTTTTTTTTGGTTTCATATTTTAATAATAATTTTAAATTTTATTGTGTTATCATATTTCGTATAATGAGCATATACTTACAAAAATTATAACATAATTAAAAAATTTTAAGAAATATTTAATGCTTTCAATATAATACGAGGAATAATTATAATGCGAGGCTTAAGTTAATAATTAAGTACATAAGAACATTATATGCTAGTTTTGAAGAAAATTATACATATATGCTAACCAATTTTAAAAATTAAAGTTTTGAATAAAAGAAATATAAAATTAGATTTTTATTATTTATAATAAAAACATTGAAATCGCGTTATCTGACAGGCTCATACATGGCTGTCCATGCCGATTCAGTCGAAAGGGACGTGTGAAACTATGGGAATTTCAAAGGGTGTGAACTAATGAGGTGAGGCCTTATACTATGTAATTCAATTTTCGTGAAACGATTTTTATATTTGGAAAAATAGTAAGGTAGTGCAAATCTATTTTTATGACACTACCTTTTCTTTTGTGTATAAGAAAGTCATTTCATAAAAATCAAATCACATAGTAGGGATCCTGACCTGTTTCCAATAGTTTACCGTTCTTGTTTTCAGTGGATAAGTTGGTAATTTAGAGGTATACTGGTCCCGAAAACCGAGTCACTCTGTTGTCAGGTCACCTCAAAAAGTATTTTAAAACTTTTACGCCTTTACCTGTAGCTACTGTGCGATTAGATATAGACATTAATAAAAACAAAACAACAAAACTAAAAAAAAATTGGAAAAACACGTACGCCAAACGTAGAAGTAAATAGCTAAAGGAAAAATAAAAGAGAAGCAGTGGATCAAAATCTGTGGCGTTTGCACAGTCCCAGATTTGATAAATATCTCCCATAAAATAAGGATCCTTTCTTCGAAGCAAAAAAAAAGTTTATTCGAGCTTCTTGGCGACTATAACGAAAAGTGTTGCCGAAAAATTATGGGAATTTTCAGAAACCAAGTGAAAATTTCTCGGGGTCTTTTAAGTATGCATTACCGGCTCATCGGCAATTGTTATATTACGTTTTATATGGAATGCGATGGTAAGTTCCATCTTGGCGAGATGGCACCACAATATGGTAATGAGCTGATTAGGATGAATGAAACTGTAGATTCTCTCAGAAAAAGCAGGAGTCTTTGATGCGTCTTCTTCTGGAGTATGGAGCTTTGATGCACAGAAGAATTAAGTCTCTGGATGGCTTTGTCTTTGACAGCGGGAGACCTAGAAAGAATTAACCCTCACAAGATACTTGAATTTATTTAAAACATAAGGGAATACTTTAGACGATATAAACTTAGTGAGCGAACACAACAGATTTCTTTAATATATTGACGCTCTGTAATTTATATTGAAAGCTGTTTAGAATGTTATTAGGCCTATTTAATTTAATTTATTAATTAAAACTTAATTTCAATCAAACTTTGATTTTTCATTTTAAAATAAAAGTTTTTAAGATTCTAACGAATTTTGTTTTATCTTTTGCAATTTTACAACGCAATTCCATAATTAGTATATGTAATTAGTATTGTAAAAAAATTATAATGACAGTTTTACATAAAAAGCTTATAAAATCATCTTTCTTTTATCCAATGAACGTTTTATTAAAATTATATTTTTTTTATTAATTTCATAATTAAGTTGACAATTCATGTTTGAAGATCTAAATCCTTATAGAAAATTCAGTATTAATGGATTTGTTTACAAAATATTTTTTACATTTTATTTTTTTTGTATATACGCACCCTCTTCAATTTAACATAGGTACAAATATATATGTATATCTGTATATATATATATAGAATAATTATGAGTATTTTTGTCGATAATGATTATATAATTATGAGTGGAAAAATCCATTTAAATAAAATATTTTTCTATTGAATGTAAAACCAAATCCAGTAAAAAAATATTTGCAACCATTAAAAATCTTTTTTAATATTTTTTTATTGATTTCTTTGGAAATTATAAGTATACAATATGTAAATATATAGGTAGATTTGAGTATTTTGATTGATATCAATTGATTATTATGATATTCTCATCATTTCTTCAATCATCCTATTCATTTATATCACACTTTATACACAATAATATTATGATGTTCATTCTAAAAATTAATGATGCTGTTTCAAAAAAAAATCAAAAAAAAAAACAAATATTACAAAAATATTGAATTGGGAATGTAAAAAATCAACAATATAACTGACATGATATTACGCCATAATAATTTAAATGTGAAAAAAATGAAACGCAACAAGAAAAAAAAAAAATAAAAATTATAAAAAAAAATGACAGAAAACAAAACCCAGTACTCTTTTAGTTAAACAAATCCTTAAAGCTTTAAAAATCAAATTTATTTAAAAAAAAATATAAAGACAACAATATTAAAATATGTTCTAAATTCAGAAAAATATCAAGAGAAAATTTCTGGATCAGTGATAGCAGAAGTACACCAAATGATTATGACAACTTCAAGTATTTCATGTACTTTTTTTCTAATATTATTTTTGTACACAAAAATAATAAAAAAGAATAATAATAACAAAAATATGTACATATATAAAATAAAATTCTTCTTAAATATAATCTAACTTCAATAATATAATAATCAAAATAATGAAGATGATAAATAACAGCAGCAGCAGTAGTAGAGGCAGGCAGCAATAGCAACATCAGTAAAATCAACAACATGAACAACAACAATATTAATTCAAGTATATATTTCCTTTTATATATATGTATGTATTTATACAATTCCTTTATTCTAATGTAAATACATATATATGTACTTAAGTCTTTTATATTAGATACACAGGCGACCATATATTAAATGAACATCGCAATTGGATTTATAAGCTCTACATAATTTTTGTTCGGGAACATTTTTGGAAAACGATTCTGGAACGTCCCAGGTTCCAAAAAAGATTCAGAGAAAATATAAAATCAAGTTAAGGAATGTAGTCGCATGGTAGAATGATCTTTAATAACATTTATCAGACTCTATGAATTTTATTTGGAAACATGTTAAAATATCGGTTTCGTAAAACGCCCCAAATGGCAAGCTTATGTTCAACAAAAGGTCATACTTCGCCTGTTTTCAAAATGTCTTTAAGATGTTTCTTAATTGAAATTCTTTAATGTCTTTAATCAATACAATGGTACACGGATCGATTGTAAGTAAAATTTATTTTTATGATTAAATTGAAAAATTAATTTGCTTGAATGCTCAGTAGTTACTGAAATGATCATTGGTTTGATAACGTAAAATTAGGAAAGATTTTTAATATGAACAAAGTTTTTAAATAAAGTAGTAACTCTAGTTTTTGACGTTTGTGACGATGTTGATCACAAAAAATATTCTTTTTTCAACTAGGTGCTAAAGTTTTCGGGACACATTTTTAATTTGAAGGCAAATGATAAGTGAAAAATGGGAAATAATAAAGTTTCACTGTACTTAATTTTTTTTATTTTCATGTACTCCAATATTTTAATGAAATTGTTGTTGTTTTCCTTTTTTCCTATTTATGTTCAAATTTATACCATGTTATCCTATTAATAATTTTTCTAATCATAAACATTAATACATACTTATACATATATGTAATTATTTTACACTTGAATTATTTTAAAACATAAAATAAAAATAAAAATAATCTCTTATGATTAAAAATAGGATATCAAAATAATATTTTATAAAAATTGCTTTTTGATTAATTACCTCCTAATTGAAGTTCTGCAGCTGCCTGAAATGTATCACCTTCGGGACGTCTAACAACACATTGATACATTCCTTTTTTATCACGATTAACATCGGTTACATGTAATGTTTCACCAGAACTAGGAATCTGTCGACCATTTTTATACCATGATATTGGTTGTATACCCGATACAGGTGAACCGTTACTAGTTATAACACAACGAAATTCTGCTGTACCACCCATATGTACGCTTAATACATTTGGTATAACTTCAACTTGTATTGGTGTTGATACCATTAATCGTAATTCAGCACTAGCTTCACCGCCAGCACTACTAGCTGTACATTTATATGTACCAGAATCTTCACCTGTTACTGCTTCTATAGCTAAAATTGGTCCCAAAAGTCGTATTCTTGGGCCAGCTAATACTGGTATTGGTTCTGCACCACTCTGTGTAAACCATCTGAAATTAATATTAATTTTTTCTTTTTTAATTTCTTAATGTAAAAATATTGTAATAGATAAATTAATTAAAGTTTTTAAAAAGAAAAAATATGTAGTTCAATTTTCTTTAATTTCTAAAAGATGCGTAAATCTAGATATCAAAAATAGATTCGCAATTTAAAAGTGCGAATAGATTTTATAACAATGAGAATTACAGTTTTTTATACGCACAAATAGTCTTGTATAAGAATTTTTTTTCCTTACAATTTGATTTTTCATAACTTATTCTTTTGTTAGAATTTCTAATCGATTGATTTTTCAAGATGAATATTGAATTGAAATCATTATTTTTAGGTCATTCTACGCAATGAACATAATTATTAACGGCGCATCAAAATTATTCATTAACTAAGTGATCAATATATTTTAAAATTTTCATAGGGGGAAGATTTAAAATTTAAGCAATTTGTGAGATTAAGAAAATTCAGTACCTTACCGGACTACTTCTTAATTAATTTAGAAAATACATCAGTCTAAATAAAATTCCAGTCTATATATTTAAAAGTATTTCGTTTAGAAATTGGAATTCTTTAATGACATTGTATTGAAATAGCTTGCTAAATTGAAATGTTTAATTAATAGGAACGGATGAATTTCATGGTCTCTCCTTTATTCTAATTATACCCATTTTATTTTCACTTTTATTCAGCACAAGAAATCGCAAATTAACAATAAATTTTGGCATTGTGCAAATTTTTTAATAGTATGCCTTAAAGATTTTAGGTGTTTTAATGCAAACATCATTCTTTAAGAGCGATTAAATTAATTATTATATTTTATACCCAGATATAGTGTGTTCTCTCGTAGCAGTAACAATGAAACCGGATTCTTCATTGAATTCTTCTTGTGTTGATTATTATTTTTCTTTTCAAATTTTTTTTAATCCTTAATTGTTGGTACGTGTAAATGCATTTAATTTCAGTTTTTGTTTGTACACAAAATAAAATTATAACTAAAGTCGGAATAACAAAAAAAAAAGAGAGAAACTTTGAAAAATTGATTTTCCATTTTCCGTACTCTTTCTTTATTTTTGTTTTTTTTGGTAGGTACATAAAGGGAAGTTAAAAAAAATAACTTTGTAATTTTCATTTTTTTTGCATAAACGTAGGCACATCGAAACTGCACATGACAAGATTTCCCAGTTTTTATTTTTATCGTGTAATGTCCTCAGTTTTCGAGATTGGAGCTTTTTTTTTGATTTTCATTTTGTTTGTTTCTTTGTTGTTACAGAAACAAATTTTTTTTTAAAACGTTATGCAACTGTATTTTTTTTTGCATATTTTTTTTCATAATACTTTTAACTTGAGCCCGTTATTTATTCTTATATATTTACATAATATTCTCCTCTTAAAATATAATATAGTGATATACTGGCGCGGTTGTAGTAGTAGTTGTAGAAATATCGTATTAATCGTAGTACAATATAATATATTATTATTATAGTATGAGTGTATCATTTACATAGATAAAACAAAAGATATGATAATTTCAAAAGCAAAACAAAAAAAAAAGAAAAATGGAAAAAAGAAAAATTATTTTCCCATCTTAAAAAGCAGATAACGATGACATTATCGTTATTATAAAACCGTCATCATCAGGCACATCGTCATCATCGAATATGTTGTAAAATATAATAATAATATGTACAGTATATTTATTTATTGTGTAGTTCTCGGTATAAGAGTATGTATACATATACACAGAATATAACAAAAGTTCTGTTTGCACACGTATACATAATAATATAGTGTGTGTGTATAAGGAAAAATATGAATAAATATGGAGAAGAGAAAAAAATGAAAAAGAGTTAAGCCTATATGCCCATAAATAAGGGAGGATAGTGATGATTAATCTGGTTTTTATATTTATATATATTTTATATACGTTACTTGTTGTTCATAAAATATAAGAACATTATAAAAATATGACATTATTGAGACAAACTTTAGGATATGAATATGCTGTTCTAAATATTGTATAACTAGTTTGATAGAAAGCGTAATAAAGGAAAGAATATTATGATAATATATGTATCTGTTGAAAGTTAGGTAAATGACATCAGAAGATTAGCTTTAAAATTGACTAAATGCGCGAGATGCATCGGTTATAATAGAATAACTACTAAATGAAAGAGGTTCGTGGAAGACTTATTTTAAATAGAGACAAGTAAAGTATGAACACGAGGAAAAAAGAACAATGCAGAATAAAATTATTTTCGATTGATAGTTTTTTCAGTTTACTTTAAAGTTAAGCATTTCTGGTATATTCTGGCCGATATATTATTTGTAAGCTTATACCCCTACCGCTTGGGTCTTTTAAAAATGAAAAGATGTGGAAATTTAAAATTTGGCACAGATTACTTCACAAATATTGGCTATTAGAAATTAATAAGGTTGGTTTTAAACCTTTTCGATACCCGGTTTTGTTAGTCAAGTGTTTGTAAATCGGTACCTCACGTTGTAAATAATACCCGATACAGGTGGTTCCAGGACCTTTTCATATGAACTCACTTTTATTTTGCTGAAAGCCAATGTGTAAACAAGGTGCATTTTCCACAATTAAGTCGGATCACTTTGATGTCGAAAATTTAAACATGTACAATTGGGTAAGAAAAAGCAGTCTTAATAAGATCAAAATTAACACTTCTACATGTTTTTTTTTTTATATTATAAACGAAAAGTAGATGAACAAGCACATAGCATTTACTTCATTACTATAAACTTAATATTGAAATTTTCATACCAATTTAATCACATGTATATTTATCTAGGGATTGATATTTATATATAAATAATATATATAAAATAATATAATAATAATAATGATGACGATAAGAACAAAAATGGTAGCAGAACTGTAATGTAAAAACTTTATCCACTTAAAAAACTCTACCATATCAAAATGTCTCAAATTCGTGTTTGAATCGAATACGGAAAAAATATGTATACAAGCAGTAAAAAATATAATATAAAAATCTTTAGATATACATACTCGTATAATTATGAATTTATGTAAAAACAATGCTGTAATTTGATACTAGTAAAAAAGCAGTGAAAAGTATTTAGAATGCGCTGTGCATCAAAAACAAAAAAAAGAAGGAAACGAAATGAAAATAAACAATATATTCCCAGATATTTAATATTGTCGATTTTTATGACTGTAGAGTAAATACAAAATTATAAATAAAAAGTTGGACCAAACCAAAGGTTTGTAAAGCAGCACTTTTCACTTCAACAAGTGAAAATACTGCTTATAAAAAAAGTCTGTTACATTATTTAAATTGGTTTCATTTATATAATAAAATATTTCAAAAATTGCATACATTTAGGATGAAGTAGAAAAAAATTTTTAAGAGGCGTTAACATAAAGGATTAATTGCGTGAGTTATGCATGGAATCACCTTTAACTTTCTGCATTTATAGTATTTTAGAAAATGATTCAGTTTCGGAAATGTAAGGTGCCGAAAATTCGAATTTTACAAATTTTGAGGGGCGATAACTTGAGCGGGAGTGACGAAACGAAACGAAAAAAACAATTTATAAGTATCTTAAAGCTGCTAAAATTTCAGATTCCTGTAACCTATTGTGTAGTAGAAAAATGATATCAAAAAATCAAAAAATTTGTTTTTTTTTTGTAGATAGCGGCAAATTTTAACAGCCATTTTTGCTTTTTAGTGGTTAAATTATTCTGTTCCGCTGTAGAAGAAGCCAGCTGTAACTTTTTCACGTTTGCAAAATTTGAAAAATGTAATATGTGTTTTTTTTAAAATAAATAGTTAAGAAATGCAGTTTTTAGGGGTTTGAGGGGCTATAACTATTTGCCGGGGGGACGAGGGGGAATAGGATGGAGTTGGGTAAAAGCTTTCTTCTACGAAAATGAGCTTCTAGTGAAACTCAATGCACATATAAAAACTCAGCTTTATATATCTCAAGAGTGTGGTAATTTTTTAAACATGTCCACGAACGTACGGACGAACATAGTGAAATTAATAAAAATACTTGTTTCAACATTTTTTTTTGGATGGCGTTAAAAAAGTAAGAAGTCATGATAAAAAATATGAAAATTTTAATTTCCTTTAATCCGATATTATTTTTGCTTTTTTGATTATCGCAGTAATGAGACATTTTCAGTATGTTCAGATTGGATCCAGTTTTTAAAATTGTAGTTAAAAACACTTTCATAATAAATTATGTATATATTTTTCTATCTTAATTGAATAAAGATAGAAGTTATGTAGCTTCATATTTTGGTTTTATAAATGAACTTGGACATACTATGTAACAAAATATTACTTTCGAGATTTTGTCATTTATAATAGAATAACAAATAATTTTTTTGCAAAATAGAAATTCCAAGCTTTAACACTGGGACAAATTTGATTATATAGTATTGGGATAGAGAAGTGTAGTTGAGAAATATACAAGCATTTTTTAATTTATTGAAGCAGATGAGAAAATCGGTAGAGTTCAAATTGGATATTTTGTTGAAGGAAAACCGTGAAAGCTATTCTCTTGAAGCAGTCATATTTTTCTTTCCAATATTTACGTATGCTAAATTAAATTACTTGGTATATTTTATTAAAGGGGCATTTCTATAGAAGTTCGTTATTAAAATTTCCAATAGGGTTTTTTGGTAAAATCTTTTTAAGCCTTGGGTTGGTATTTCAAAATGTTAATTCAGAAGAATTATAAATTATCAATGAAATTATACAGGCTGGAAAATCAACGTTAATAAATATTTTTTTTATTTCTCAAAGGTAAATAAAGAGTTGTTGAGAAAATTGATGTAATAAGAAAATGTGGGTGAAAAATTATTAATAATTCGATATGAAATTCAAGCAACTTTCATCGCTGGTTAAAAAAATTGTAAATCATTTGTAATTTGTACAATTATAGAATTATAATTTTATTTACGCCCAATTATATGCAATTTAAATGAGAATTCTTTGTTTACCTCGTA